TCTCAATAAGAAAATTTGCAAGCTGAGATGAGCTTTTTGCTGAAGTAGAAGTATATTTAGAGTCAGGATCTGCATGAGTATTCAAGATTAAGAACAAAAGGCTTTTTTGAATGAAAAGGAGCAAAGATGATTGAAAGGAAATGGGGGAGCCTGGGCATGTTGAGGGAGGCCCAATCAGAAGCCAGAACAGTGAAGGATTCCTTAGATGAGCTTGAGCTTGTGTGACTGCCCTAAAGGAAAGTCTACTTGCTAGGACTAAGAGTAGGAAAAGAGTCACAGGCATATAGAAAAAAGGGAATCTTTGTCATGGACAAATACTGCTACTGGTCTACTGATCAGTTTGCATAATCATCTTGATGTAAATAGGAAATTAATACACTAGTATTGGAGGTTTGAAAATATGTTAGACATCCTAGCTAAAGTAGCATGGGAAAGTTTTTCTGTTGGACACCGTACATTTTAAGGCATAGATGGTGTTTCTTATTGTCCAATGACTGACCTCAGAAATTTGGCCGCTACCTTCAACCTCCCAAATTTGAAAAAATATTTTAATTAAACAAAATTTTTGTTGCAGTTGGAGAAGTGGTCTTACTACTTTGCCTGAGGTGGCAAGAAGTGTTTAGACTTTTCCCGCACTTTGACTGTTGAGCTTGATATAGGAGAATGAAACTATCAACCTACTATATTTCCAGTATAGCTCTTGTTCTCAGAATTTTAAGAATGAATTTTATAAACAATGGGATTAAAAGCAAAAATATTTATTGAGAGAAAGAAAGCCTCTGTCTGAGAGAGAGAAGGGCTGCTAAGAAGGTTGCCAAAGAATGTACCTTGTAGACATTTTTATAGAGTAAAACCATGAGGTGAGGCCAGTCTAAAGAGGGAAAAATGAGAAATCACAAGGCAGGCAGGCATGAGGGGTGAAAGAGATATGGTCAACCAATAAGTTTAATTTTTCAGATAAAGTTGACTAAATCAGGGACAAATGGGGAAACCAGTCACTTGGCAAGCAAGCATTCTTTATGAATCAGTGACTCTTCCTGTAGGAGTTTGGAATGGTGATTTCTTGCTTCTCAATCCATACCTAATTCCTAAGGATTATACTTAAGGGTGTGGCTGCATTTCCTTTACTTCTATTTTGAGATCTGGCCCAGAGTAAGAGGTGTGTGGCTTCTCCAAAGTCACTAGAAATCTGGTCCTCTATGCCAGCTAATTTGAGTGCCTAGCTCTGTCTGACTGCCTGTAATAATTCTAACTAGCTCAGCTGCCTGTAACATGTTGACAGACATGTGCTACCTTGTTAGATATATTGTTGTGCCTCTACTTTGGTGTAGAGCACTGGGTCTACTTCTGTGGTTCACACTGTCCTAAACTCTCAGAGTCTCATGCATCATCTTCTGTAGTTCTGGGGTTTCAGGCATGCACTACTATGCCTGGATTAGTGTTTTAATTTTTATGTCATCACATTTCACTAAGGTTTCAGTGTTGGGGTAAAGTGAACAACACTGTGTCGTGGAGGTTTACAGATATAATACCAGCCACTTGGGAGAGTTACAGTGATTATAAACCAAGGCCACCCTGGATAAGTGATCGAGAATTTTTTCCATAAGAGATGTACATTGTTGTTTTATGTCCACACCAGATTATCTTTTCTACAGTCCATGTGGGCCTTAGATATTGAAGAGAAAATGTTTGTGGATTAAACTTATATTGAACTTTTATGTTGATGCATAGTTTCTCCTATTGATACATGGCACAATGCAAAGCTTACCTGCTCATGTCAGGGGACATCCAGATAACTGTGTGGTCTCCACAAAAGGACACCATGGGAGAACAATGAATGATTCAAAGTGTGCTGCATTCAGTAAGGTACATATGATATTTAGTGTTGTGTTATAAATTTGTATTTCTTTTATATCTGAAATAAAGATCAAGGCATTCATTTTCTGCATGTTGAAAAAAATCTGATGTTTAGTGATGCTGTTTGGCATTTCACGTTTGTTCTTGTGCTTATTCAATGCATTTTGTCATCAGTTACATTTAGGTTGATATAGTCATTTTCCAGTTGAGACTCAAATATCACTTTTATGTCATTCCTTCCAAGTATTCATATTGTCCTCTGTACATGTGTATATATTGTCTTTATATTGTCCTCTGTCCCACTTGCTTCCAATTTGGAGAGCTGTATTCATCTGTTTCTCCTGAAAAGCTCTATGAAGAGAGCAGTGCAATGCTTTTTGTCAATGCATACACTACTGTGGGTGTTTTGTGTCTTTTTCCCCTGGATTTTTATTATTATTATTCTATGGAGGTAGTACAATCTGGTCATATTTCTTGACATGTATCCCCTGTCAAGAAGATTAAATGGAAATTTTAAATTGGCACAACTGAGCTGATGGTTAGACATTAGGGTTAGGTTAGACATAACAAGTATTTCTGTATTATATCTTTTAATGACATCTCTGTAACAAAGCTTCAGGTTTATAATTTCAGTTCAGCAGTGTTATTCAGCCTCCAAAGGATTCAAACTTCTGGCAGTTTTAGCTTTTTAAAGGGAGAGGAGTTTCTAAGGATCCTAGGACTTACTAGAGTACAGATTACATACATAGTTGTGTGAACACACAGAAAGAGTTCCAAATGGTGAATGGTGCATAAAAATTACTAGGCAGGGCACCTAGGCCTATACCCAAGTAGAGTGGAGAAGGAGATTATGCACAGGAAAAATGGACAATTCACATTGGATATTTTGTAATTAGTTTTCCCATTAAAAAATGAAATTTGGGATTATTTGATTTTTTCATGATACAAATTATTGCTTTAATTCCATGAGTATGATGTAGTACACTTGAATATGACAAGGAAGATTATGTCTCATGTACAGATAATTTTGTGAATCTTTTCCTTCTGAGGAAATGACTCTGGTAGCTGTAGGATTTTTTTTTTTTTTTGGTAAAATGTGTTCTTTTTCTCCTGTGAAGTTTTAAGGGAATCAGAAAATAATTACTACATATGAAGAATATCTGTGAAGGGAATTCTTAGCCAATAAAGATTAATGATTTGTGATGACTATTTGGGGTGCATCTCATAATGTGTATGAATATCCCATTCCATTTTTAAAGCTATGAACTTCTTTGTGCATAACTGGTTTATATAACATGGGAAATAACTCACTTTGTATGTGCTTGAAAACCACCAGTATGTCCTGGGTATGATATTAAAGGGAAAATAAGTCTCTTATTTTTTGAGCTTGAGCACAGATGTTTGCCATTGCCTTAGGACATTGGCCTCAGGTTTGCTCATGTTCTCAAAATAAAATCTTCAACCTGCCAGTGGGGATTCTTCAGCAGAGACCGAGGTTGGGAAGCAGGGGCCATGCACCAGATGTAATCTCATAGATCATGATTCCTCACCATATGAAACTATATCCAGACATGTCTTTTCTAATATCCTTGGAGTCATCAAACTTACAAAACATGACAGTAGAAATCTAAGCATCAGGAGTTTCAAGTTGAGTACATTACTTTGGAAAAATTACTAAGCCACAAGAAATTAACTTTCAACCATTGAGAAGGAAAGGGATATTATGGTAAATTTACTATGCTATGTTCTTGCCTCATAACAAGGAAAGAATTGAGAGTGAGGCTACGTGTAGCTCTCATTATGCTTCCTGCTAGGGTTAGTTTTCATAAGTCTGGAATCCCTTGTGATGGAGGGTAAAGTCAGGTGACATTGATCGATATTTTATCACAGCCATAGGAAGTGGCAGAGACATCTAACTATGCTAAATAAAATGAAAGTTAAAATATGAAATCTTAAAAATACAGATTGTGTCCTACACATTAAGCTTCATTGGAATGATGGTTATTTCCAGAACTAATGAACACACCCTCAGAATTAAAAGTCATTTTAGAATGTTTAAAAATCACATAATGATTTTTATAAAGTTTAACATAATCAAATTTTAACATACATTTTAGCATTGGTTATTATGAAAGTAATTGTTACGACCCTTGCCAGGCCTGTGTAAACTACTCTCTTATATCTAGAGTAATGTGATAAATGAGTAAACTATTGAACACATTAGCTTCTACAGTTCATAGTGCTAAAAGCTGGATGTATGATAAGAATTTAAATAATGGAATGTTAAATAATGCTGAAAAGCACTAGTTGCAAAGGGGTTTAAACTTGTGCCTGTTAAACCCACATATTGATCTCTTTGAAGTAGGGAATTCACATGTACATGCAATTTTTTTAAACTGAGAATCAAACTCAAAATCTCACATTGCAAGGCAGGTACTGTGCTGTTGAGCTATATCCCTGGCCTTGTAAAATAATTTTTTGCTCTGAGTGCAGAGGGGAGAAGCACCATTGATCATGTAATTATTATAATCCATTGATAGTTACTGGACTTTGTTTAAAAAGTCATGCTAAGTGATGCACTTTGTGCTTTTTATAGCAGTTTCATAAATGGTTTTCACATTTTTGAAATTATGTCAATGTGAATTGTACTTGGTACAATACTCATAATTTGCAATCCACTTGTTTATATCTGATACATATTTACATGGCACACAAAAGTAACTAATACAAAAAGAATAGTGTGTATTCTCAGGCATCATAGCACAAAGTGTTTTCTAGACTTTAGAAAAAAGTCTGTGGAATTTCATAACCTTATAAGTAAAGGAGTTTGTGGAATTCAGGAGCTGAGTGTTGAGTTAATGAATTATTTTGTTCTTCCACACTTCAATACTGTTTGGTGATTTTTACAATGAGATTTACATTTTTTTCTATTCACTATTTCTCCTGAGTCAAATAACTTTTTGATATTTATAGACTTGTCCTCACTGATCTTAACTCTATAAGTAAAATTTTTGTATTATGTTCCCAATCAGTGTTTTCTTGACTAATTCCCATCTTCATAGATTTCAATTTCTTTTCATTTTCTTTGCTGCTTGATTTTCTTCTGAGGAAACTGTGTCATTAACTGAGTGTTTTTTAGTATAAATTATACAATCATTCCTTTTTCTCTATCCCATTTCAGTGTTCTCCAATGCACATATGAAGGAGAGTGTACAGTCTAGATGTATAAGGATATGCCTGTCTGTCTCTGAATGTAAATGAAACACATTGTGCTTTATTCCTGAGACACATAGCATTGGCTCAATCATGAAACAATGTTCTACTTGAAGGTTCTCTTCCTTTCCTGCAACCCATTTGTCATTCTCTGTGAATCTTTCACTGATGTTAATGTTGAAATTTGAACATTTTCCATATTTATAATGCAAAATATATCCTTGCTTACAAGTATTGAAATTTTATAGGCTTTTTTTGTAACTTTCACCTATCATCAAAGGTACATTTAGTTTGTTTCTTTTTGGTGTTAGAAATTGATCTCAGGACCTTACATGTGTCAGCCAGATGTTCGTACCACCAAGATATAGTCCTGGTACAAAGATGTAATTGGTAAATTGCTATAAATTAATTTTAATGTTCATTCAGTGAAGGAGTTTGATGAATGGCCTCACTTTGAACTGGCCTTATTGCATAGACCAGCCTGGACACTGTGTACAGGGCAATCCTGAAATTCCTTGTAATCCTCTTATATCAGCCTCTCAAGTGCTGGGATAACAGACTTGTACTACAAAAATGGGCTGAATCTCTACCTTTTGTATTTAGTAACCAGTTACCTTGTTATACCTCAATTTTCATTGCATTTCAATATATATGAAATATATATTCTTTTCCACATTAACTTTTTTTACTCCCTAATAGAACTTCTAGTATTCAAGTAAAAAGATACAATTTGGTATCTGTGAACTATAGGTTTATAATTACAATTTATAAATTCCTTGTCCATAGAATGCTCAAATAAACCTTAATTTTCATTTATATTTTAGTAATTCATAACCCTCCTTTTATATTGTACTAAATATTTATGTGTGAAACCAGTTTCAAGATTCTAAATGCTGTATGCAAGAAAAATGAACACATTGCTATGAATAACCAGATGTTTGTGAGTGGCGATTTGCAGGCTTCCTCTTTGAGCTCTCCTTTAAAGCAATAGAAAAGTATAGTATAGGAGGTCCTGCAGGACAATCCATGCTACAGTTCTGTGATCATTTTGACAGGGTTTAATAGTCTAGCATGAATGTTACTGAGTGACTATATTTGGATGTACTTGAGGATTGATGGTGATGACATGCAGTTACTACATAATGAACTTCAGTTAGACTGTTTATGACAGGAACTGTGAAAAAGCAGGTTGAGTGTGTCTGAACTTCAGGGCAATTGTCATTATTTAGGAGACAGTGACTTTTGAAGATGTAGCTCTGAACTTCACCCCAGAAGAGTGGGATTTGCTGAATGAATCCCAAAAGAATCTCTACAGAGATGTGATGTGGGAAATATCTATGAATATTAATGCTACAGGTAAGGATGATATTTTTGTTTATTTATATAAGCAGAAATAATTATTTCTCAGTAATATAGTTTTATATAATTGATAATTATAACATTGCTTGTAATCTTTCTATCTTTATAATTATATCATTTGCTTGTAATCTTTATATAAGCAATTATAACATTTGCTTATAACATTTGCTGGAATCAGTCATGTTTTAATGTAAATTTATAGTGAATTTTGTAAAATGTCTGTCTGTAATACAGGAAGAATATGGTGGCCAACAAATTAAAGAAGAGGACAAAAATGGCTCAAGAAATCTAAGCTGATCGACACACAAAAGAGAAAGGGAACATTCCTTAAGTTCAGTGTTTAAGCAAACTACTACAACAAAGGTACTGGAAGCAATGAGATCATGTTACACGTTATTTAACCTACGAAAAATATCAAAAGAAAAACTTGATTTTATTTTGTATTATCTAGGAATCCATAGAAGAGTATTTGAATGTAGGAATCAGACATAGTGCTGATAGTATGTAATAAATGACACTGTATAATATATCAGTTTGAAAATTGCCTCCACAATCAATATCATGAAACTGTATGGGAGTAAAATTAAATATTGTATTCTGATATGTAGGAAATAAACAAATTTTGAATTTTGTTTGAAACTCATCTTCAAATTATCCATTTATGTATATATGTGAATACTGAGACTTTCATGATCTAAAAATTTTTTACATAAAATCAGGATGTAAAATGCAAATGAATGCTACTGTTATAACAAGTATTTTGAAAATATCCTGTAGAATGTTGAGCTGTGCATGTTAAAGATTTCTCATACATTGTTCATGGATACATAAAATAAAATAGAATAGTAATCAATATTTCAGGTGTCTGGAAAGTACAATAATGTTTCATATTACTCCACATGTACATCCATCCATATATACATTTTTACTTTTAATCCATGATTTTAGACTGTAGTTCAGGTTGATTTTGAACTTACTGTGTAGCCTATACAAACCTGAAACTCAGAGTGATCCTCATGCTTTTATCTCCTGACTGTTGAGAGGATTGTACTGTGTCATTATGTGCAGTGATTCAGTATATTGTGAAATACATTAAAATCATCAAACATTAGTGGTCAATCCAGTGTTTTGTTCAATGCAGCATATGAGAGGGCATTTAGAGTATCTAATATGAGAATCGACTCACAGTAACTGAGCTCTGTGAAGAGCCCAGATGCCCATCACTAGATGCCTGCATAAAGAAAATGTAGGGTCAGCTCACCATGGTGATGCATTCTTGCAGTCCCAGTATTCTGAGAGCCTGAATCATCAGGATGACAACTTGAAATTCAGCCCAAGCAAGTTCCTGATCAATGAGAATCTCTATCTAAAAACCAAATATTAGATCAGCAAATGTAATTCCCTAGAAGACCTGTGTTTAACCCTCTACATTGAAAAAAAAATATGTTATACAAGGAAGATGATGTCATTTTTCAAGAAACAAAAGGAGTTAGACCTTAAGTGAAATAAGTCAGACAAAGAAATGAAAATATCACAAATTTTCTCTTAAATGGAAATTAAAGCACATTTGATGAGAAAAAGGAAATAGAGATAACACAAGACCAGACATCTGTACATTCTATAGATGAGAAAGATGATCTGCTAAATAGACAAGGGGGAGAATGAAGACCCAAAGAGCTAAAAAAGTGATCAATATTTGATAGTCATTTCTACCAATCTCCTAAAATAATATTATGTAGTGGAATCATACACTAAATGAAAATTTCAAAATGAAAACCATCCTCTTTAGAATGAATATTACTTTGTAAGAAGTCCTGCAGGGCAGTGAGTCAGTTAACCAGCAGAATTACTTAGCAGGCATCAAAAGAAACTTGTCATCATAAATCTGAATTGTTAATGTAGAGCTTCTTTCATTGTGATTGATATCTTTCTTCGTATTTCTTTACAGATGTGATGAAGACAATTATTTGAGAATTGAAGAGCAGCAATATAAATGTAATGAAGATGTAGAGACCTGCAGTGATTTCCAGTCCTTTCAGAAGCATGAAATGAGAAAGACTGGAGAGAAACTCTGTCAATATGGGCAATGTGGGGAGGACAGCTCTGATCTTAGGGAATAAACTCACCCTGAGAAGAAAATTTTTTCAGGTAAGAAAAGTGTCAAAACCTACACAAAACCTAACAGTTCAAAATCATGGGAGAAATCACAGTTCAGGGAGCTCATATGTACAAAAATAGTAAGAGAATAATTTCATGCCTTCATACTATATTGAAAAAATGTTACAAAATATGTTGGAGAGAAAAACCATATAACTGAGAAATGTGCAAATGCATTATCTTGCAGCAATTCCTTTAAAAACCATAAAAAACATCACACTGGAAAGCAAACATGTGAACACAAGCAATTCATTCAGTACATGCAGTAGCTGTCAAAGACATAAAAGAATTCAAACTGGTGAGAAACTATATATAAGCAAAAAAAAGTGGAACAGCATTCATGAGAACCTCAGAATGTAAAATATGATAGAACTCATACTGGGGAGAAATCATTTGTATGTAAGCAATGTGGGAAATCTTTCAATCAAAATCATAAACTTATAATACATGAAAGAATTCACCCTGGGGAGAAACCCTATGGATGCACCAAGTGTGGGAAGGCATTCAGTACAGCCTCTGCTTGTAAAGCACATGATAGATCTCATACTGGGGAGAAACCATTTGTATGTAAGCAATGTGGGAAATCTTTCAGTCAAAATGGTAATCTTATTGTACATGAAAGAATTCACACTGGGGAGAAACCCTATGTATGCAACAAATGTGGGAAAACATTTAGTAGAGCCTCTGATTTGTAAAGTACATAATAGTATTCACTCTGAGAAGAAGCCATATGTATCTAAGCGGTGTGGAAAATCTTTTAGACACAGAAGTAGACATAAAAGATTTCACAGTGTGGAGAAAACCTTGATATGCAAACAATGTGGGAAATCTTTCAGTCAAAATTGTAACTTTCTTATACATGGAAGAAGTCACACTGGGTAGAAACCCTATGTATGTGAGGAGTGTGAAATATTTCAGTCAAAATGGTAACCTTATACATGAAAAAGTTCACTCAGGAGAAACCCTATTTCTGCAACAAATGAGGCAAAGTATTCAGTACAACTTATTGTTTTAAAGCTCATGATAGAATTCACACTGTGGAGAAGCCATATGTATGTAAGCAGTGTGGCATATCTTTCTGTCAAAATGGTACCCTTACTCATGAAAGAACTCAGACTGGGTAGAACCACAATGGATACAAACAATGTGGCAAAGAATTCAGTATGCGGAGGTGCTGAAAACTTTATTTACATAAGCATTTTTGGATGTCTTTCAGCTTTAGTAGTAGCTTTTGTATATATAAAAGAATTCACTCTGTAAAAAAGTATCTATATGATGAATGAATAAATGGATGTGTTGATAAATTCTCACTTCATTAACATAAAAGATCCTTCTGGGAAGAAATCCTATGAATGGAAGTAATATAGGAAAACCAGAGCTATTGTCACTACATAAAAGAACTTCCTCTGTGTGGTAATTCTATACTTTTGAACAGTGGTAGAAAGCCTTCAGTGCACAAAAATTTCATTGAATAGAGGAAGTAGGCCCACAAGGTAAAACCCATATGTATTTAGGCAGTGTAGAAAAGATTTGCAACTGTGTTTCCTTTTGCAAACATAAGATTCCCCTCACACTGGGGAGTAACTACATGTGATAAATATTTGGTAAAAGTTCAGCTGACAGAGGAGCTAACCTTCTAAATGATATCATATTGTGTCCAAGGTCTATACATTCAATGTGGAAAGAATTCAGTATTCATGGTTATTGTCATATGTGTGAAAATAATAATAGTTAAGTGAAATCATACATATGTAATAACTATTTTGATAATACTTTGAAAATTGCTCATGTAAAGGAGACCTGTTAAAATAATATAAAATTATTGCTGTCAGTATATATGCATAGATTTTTTTGAAAACGCCCTCAAACATAGCATTGTCCTAAAATGTTCTTATTTCTTGTTTTATAAATCACACTTAAATATCTTTAATAAATCACATTTCTTTAGTCTTAATGAAAAATCACAGTTTTAATGAAAATTTAAATATGTTGAATCTTTTTTTACCATGTTTTTGATTCATCAATGTCTTATCTAGCTGGATAACACCGACTTATCTCATGACCATTTTTCCCACCATGATCTATAACTCCTATATCAGTTTATCAAGAAGGATCTATATGTGTGTATTCAGAAGTGTGCTTATATTTATAGCCTGTATCTATGTATTCATGCTTATGGTAAGATATACCATCACAAAGGCAAAAGCAGAACCAGTCACTGACAGAAAGAAGAATGAGTTTAAATTAGGGAAAATATTTTGTACTCAAGAAATTTAGAAAAACATTCAGTACATAAACATGTTATAAAATACCTGTGTGAACTCATACTAAGGAGAAACTCAATGTTGGTGAACATTGTGGAAAACCTTCCGGTCAGTATTGTTACCTTGTCCATAAAATTGTTCACAGTTAGGAGAAACCTTATGGAAGACATTTGTGAAAGGTTCTGCTGATCATCCAAATTTTCTACACCTAGAAATCCCACACAAGGAGAAATCTTCTGTATGTGAGCAATGTGGGAAATCTACCAGCCAAAGCCATAGCTTGCAAACGCATCAAAGAATTCACAGTGGGAAAACTATGTAGGTAAGCAATTTAGGAAAGCATTAAGTTCACACAGTCACTGACAAAAACAAGAAAGAACACACAATGGGGAGAATGTGTGCATGTAAGCAATGCAGCAAATGTTCCCAGCTCCAGTGATTGTAATGACATGAAAAAATTCACACAGGGAAGCAACTCCATGCGTTCCAAAAATGAAGAAAAGCATTCAATGCAAAATAATGTCAACAATTAAGGAAATAATACAAACAGTTGAGAAACTCCCTTCATACAGTCAGTGTAAGAAGGATTTCTTGAAGATTTTTTCATTTTATAAATACTAAATTTCCCACATATTGTAGAGTAACTTGTGAAAAACATGTATTAAAAAAAAAATTCCACTGATAGCCGGGGATTTAGCTCAACAGCATAAACACCTGCCTGGCAAGTGAGAGGTCCTGAGTTCAATCCCCAGTACCAAAAAAAAAAAAAAAAATCTGTTGATAGATGCTAACCTCTAAAAGGAAGTCCTATTGTGGCTTCAGCCTATGTATGTGAGGTGAGCAAGTCCTTTGTAAACATGGGTATGGTGAAGTGTGTGAAAGCCAGGACTATGCAGCAAAATTGCACTTATGTAAGTGACTATTTTGAAAATACTTTGTAAATTATTCATGTTGAAACCTGTAGAAATACCATAGAAAATTGATTTCAATACATATTCGTAGATATTCCAGAGATCACACTTGAAAATGGAGATATCCCAAATCATATTTATTTTGTGTTTCAGTGTCACACATAAGAAGCTGATCTATTTGTCTGTAGTGTTACTTTTTTAAAACATCACACTTTTTAAAGATATTTCAAGGATTCTGAAATATTTCCCCACATTTTAGATTCATTGATACTGTCTTCATAGATGACACCTGTTTTCCACAAAAGCATTCTTTTCCACTTGGATCTGTCTCTATTTTTTCTAGAACGATCATTCAGAAGTGTCCTTCACCAGTTTTTATGACATGCATCTATGTAGGTGTGCTTATGATAAGATAATTACAAGAGCAAATTTAAAATATGTATAATTGCATTAGCTCCTGTTTCTAGCACATAATGCAAGTGTTCATCTTTGGAAGGCATCTATGTGTATAATGGGTCTGAGTTCTTTATTGTTGCCTTAACATCTTCTATTTATATTTTTCCTCTATTTCTTGCTTCTCTCCATTCCTGAAAGATGTATAATCCTACTGCCTATCACACATCATGTACTTTTTTTTTTCCTTTGGTACCAAAGATTGAACTGACAACTGCAAGCTTGCAAGGCAGACACTTCTGCCACTTTGGTAAATCTCCAGCCCCTACATTGTGTACTTTTATACAAATGTAAACACCATTCCTCTTATATTAAGTCAGTCATTTGTAAACAGCAGAATAGTGAATATTCAAGTGAATTGTGATGTCATACAATTCCTAAGGTTCAAGGATAATTCCGGAATACGATTGCCAGAATAGAAATAGTGAATGATGGAAATGATGTCACTTTGTGACAACAGAAAAACAGAGTCAGCAGTGTGCAATGAATAAGGTGATTCTCACATTGTAACATTAGATTATTTTTTGTCTGAAATGGTCTTGCTATGAAGTTCAGGTGGGCCTTGGGCTCACTTTAGTCCAGGCTGGTCTTGGGCTCACTTTGTAGTTCAGGCTGGCCTTGGGATCAATTTTTAGTCCAAGCTGAATTGAACTTGCAGCAATACTTCTGCCTTAGCCTTCTGAGCCCGGGGAATACAGGCATGCACACCCATGCCCAGGTTTTAGCATTAAGTTTACCTAGCAAAAAAATTCAGGCAAGGAATTTCATACACCACTTTTGCCCCTCTATGTCCAGTATTTGGTGCATGGCACTGTTAACTCTCATAGTCTCCATTTAGGCGCATGTTCCACAGTGGCATTTTGGCAGCATTTTATGATATTAAAATATAATTCAGAAATAAATGTTGACCAAGTCTTAATCATGTTCCATTCTCTGTAGCATTCATGAATTTAATGTCACTTGGATTCATCATGGATCTCAGTTTCCTTCATCAGAGGGCTATCATATGATGTGACAACGTGACAAGAAGGTTAAGTGCAAGGAAGGATGAGAAATGAAGAGAGACAAGAGGTTCACAAGATCCTGATTTTACCGTGGTTATTATTCAAATGTCTGTAATTAGTAGCACTGTTAGTAAACACATTCATAAACAGTTAAGTGTATTCCAAAATCATAAATATATATTAAATGTAATGTGTATAAGTTTCACTGTGTGTAAAATGTTACTCTCTAATATAGGGAAAATACATTGAGGCAGTTATTTCTACACACTTGATTCCGAGGTAGAATATTGCTGGTAAATTCTACAATGTAATTCCTAATTTTACTCCCTTATCTTATTGTTTTATCATTTTTAAAAATAAAATGGTTCAGACATAGGCAAGGTTGTGATTTCATGTGATTTAAGCAGTCCAGGAACCTGAGGCAAGATGATTTCAACTTTTCAATTTAAGCCCAGGCTTGGCAACTTGGAAACATAGAGAAAACCTGTCTGCAAATACAAAATGGTACTGTGGAGATAGCTCAGTATAAATATGCTGAATTCCAATCTCAGTCCTGAAAACTTAAATCAGACCTTGTTTCCTGATAATGCAGTAAAACCATTGGCCTCATCTCAAACTCTGAGAAGACCTGGCCTGTTCTCACCCATCCCTCCTCAGAGTTTAGGAATCATGTCCAGAGTACATTGCCTCAAATCACGGAGTACATTTCCACTCTACTAATGGACATAGGAGTAAATTTGCAAAAAATACAGGTAATCAATCCCTGTTCTCTAAAGACAAGAGCAACCTCATTTTAAGTGCAGTAATGCCCTTGAGAATTTCAGCAGCCCATATGTAAAACAAAAATGGCATGTATCAACTTGTTCATCAGTTCAGATTTTAGATCACTTTCCTTTTCCCTTCAGTCTCAAATATTTGGTCTTTCATTACCAGCTATTGGGTGATGCAGGAAGGCTGTGTGCATTGTGATCTGGAAAGAGGCATAGGGAGATCAGGACATTTAATTATATGGGGTCCTCTTTTATATTTTTGCTGCCATATTTTGGACTGAGCGTCCCCTGCTGATGAAGGCCCCTAGAATTTGGGCCTGGTTGCTGGATGACTTCTGCAGACAGCAGGAATCTATGCACAAGGAAACATCCTAGAGGCTAGGAAGTTAAGTTTGGTGCCAGGGGCTCTGAGCTGGATACAAATGGACTAGATGTTATCTATTGAAGTTGGAGTCTTCCCATGAAACTTGTGAAGTCTGTGACATGACTTCGGTACTGGCTTCAACCTGATCCCTTCAGGCCTGTGGCATGAGGCTTGACTGGCAGTGGGGAGCACAGTGCCCTGTCCTGTTCCTGATTCAAATTCAGCAACATGCAAAGTGGAACACATTCCACAAAGTCTCCTTCAGCTCTGTGTCTTGACACTATATGGTGACTTCATTTGTGCATGTGGAGTCTACAGGTTCATCTGCAGTTTCTACATAGAAACATATTTTTTTCTCCATCCCCAGTCAGTTTTTTATCTCAAAAGTCAGTCCTGATTGCCCTGCATTAACTGAATGTTTTGGCTGCAAAGAGTCCAGTTCACGGAGTGAAGAGTGAACCAAGCATTTATAAGGTAAGAATTAAATTTCCATTTTCCAGATCATATCCACATGGACATACACAATACATGATACATGTGACTGTTTTGAAGGCTGTTTCCATCTTTGACATAATTTGTGGCATGGAGTGCTCTTAAACCTTGTTTCACAAACATGTATCCTGACTGAGGTAGAACATGTTTCATGGAAATAATACAGAAACTTGGGGATACACTGAATGTGTACTTTACCACCATCTCAATCATAGGAAAGAAATTAGCATGAAAGAAAAACCTAATATTGTGGGACACAGGGGATGATGGAGCACAGCGATATCAACTCCTGGACCAAGGAAGGACTCCCTGAGATCAGATTGTCATAGGTTGAAAATAAAGACTGGGCTGTGACCTACTGAGTATGACAGAAGTTCAAAGAACATTAGACCTGAAGATGCAATGGAAATGTATGGAGAAATCTGCTGGTATTAACCCTTCAAACATTGTATTTACAAAGGTGAATTCAAACAGTTGAATTTTGGCAAGAAACAATCTAACATTTCCAACTTTCATTTGACAAATGTCTATTCATTTTAGATACCCATTTATTCATCTTTAAATTTAGGAGATCTCATTTCTATTTCATTTCTTTATGTATCCTACATATTAGTACTTTTATGATAAAATACTGGCAAAAAGTAGTTCCCTCACTATGTGTTGTTTCTTCATCCTATGACCGGCTTCTCTTCCAGTGTAAAACCTTTGTAGTAAAATGTCACAGCTGTTGATTCTTTGTTATGTTTTCTGTGCAACTGAGGTTTTGTTCATAAAGTTGGCCTCAACCAATGTCATCAAGACTTCTTATCCTATCTTCCCACACATTTTTGACTTTACTATTTATACCTTTGATCAACTTCAATTATAGTTCAGTGCATGGTGAAATCATGGGTCTAGTTTACCCTTTGGTATATGGAAGCCAGATTTTCCAACTCCATTTATGTAGGTTTACTTCTTCTAGTTAATGTGTTTAGTTCCATTTTCAAAGATTGAATTGGCTGTGTATGCTTGTAGGTATTTCTGAATATTTCAATTTGTTCCAATGGTTCTTAGGTCATTCTCATCTTCTTCTCCAGTAGCAAGTTGTATTTTTAAATCACAGTAGCTTTGCAGCCCAATTTCAAGGCAGAGATTGTGATGTTCCTTGTCCTGCATTTGTTCCAAGAAATGTTTCTGGTATTCTAGGTCTCTTCTGCTTCCAAATAAATTTTTAGGAAAGTTTTCTCTAAATCTGTGACATATGCTATGTAATTTCACTGTGGATTGCATTAAATCTGTATAATAACTCTGAAAGTATGGACATTTTTACAGAATTCATTCTTCCACAAGAATAAGGGATATCAACACATTTTCTGCTATCCACTTCAATCAATATTTTAGAAAGCAATACTTTTCAAGAAGAGGTCTTTTTCTTTGTTAGATTTATTCCCATGTATGTTCTTTTCTTGTATGGAGTTATTACCATAAATTTTTCCAGTGCCTCCTGTAAAAAATCTAAAAATTAAGAAGTGTGTTTATTATTTATTTAATGTAACATTATTATTGAATAACTGATAACTTAAAATAGTTGAAGCACTTGATTTTTGGGATTTTAGATGTTAAAGCAGGGATACATGATAATATGTCTTATTTTGATGTCCCATTCTGCTACTAGGCAAACAAGTGTCTTGGACAGGTACTGTTTTGGCTCAAGTTGGAACTGTGTATTTCCCTGGCTGTCCATGTTCTGGTCTTCTCAACTAAACAATCCAATATTCATCCCAGATATAATAGCAACCTGTATTTCCATCTGCTTCTCATTGCAAGTCAATGTTTGATTTAAGAGTTTTATTAAATCTTTCCACTCTATCTCATCAGACTGACCAAGTCATCTATATACTTTAATGCACTTAGTTTCATCTGAAAACTTTCTTGGATTAAGTTTAATCTGCTTTAGATTAGTGAGAAAAAGAGACTCTTGAACTTAGATAGTTTCTTATGACATAATTATAGTTGGAGTGCAAACAAAAATTACTTCTTTTCTGAAGAAAGTTGGAACATAAGTGTATTGAGACCCTTTGTCAACTTTTCTACATTATGGTCCTTGAAATGTTAGAGAACCATGATTAATAATTCTCTGAGCATTCCATTTTGGTTCTAGAACACATGTTTTTCCTGGGAAGGTTCCAGAAATATCAAATGGCACTAGTTTTGGTACCTCATGGCTTTGTGCTTTCCAGATAAGCTCTTGTGCTATCAGGCTAAAACACTGGCCCTCAAAAGTCACTTTTTCAACATTAAAAAGTAAAACACTTTGCAGTGCTTAAGCATATATTCAAAAACATCAAGGTATTTTGATCTTGTATTCATGTTTAAAAAGGAAAAATATCAGGTATTTGTGTTAATTTCTATTTATTTTTATATCCTCAAATCATGCCTTAAGGCAATTCCACTCCAAGGAAGGTGAACACCATCCAAAATGAGTTAAGAACATAAAATTTGACAAACCTATCTCTGCTCAAAATGATGTGTAATTTTTTTCTTCTCCAGAAATTTGTCTACTTACTCCCATATGTGTTTTCATGAGGACAAGTTAAAATTGATCTCAAAAAAAAAAAAAAACCTGTTTACAAAAGAAAGCAGCGTTTACCATAAAACTAACTCTTTCTAGGGTGATCAATTTTTTGAGTCCTCCATGCACTATATTCTTGATAGTCTTTGACTGCCAAAGAAATAGCTGGAAAAAATTGTTGCACTAAATATGTGAAATAAATAAGAAAATCTTAAATACTTCATAGTTTGTTTTATGTAAGAAAGTAAGAATATAAATATGTTAAATGGCAAAAAAGAGAGGTAAAAACAAAGATATTTTGAAAAACTAAAGGGAACTAAGAAAAGGAGAGATGTTAGAGGAAATGTAGTGAAACAAGAATTAAAGAGATTTAGGCACATGTGTAAGGACCTACAACAAATGCATCCATTATATAATGTAAACACTATTGATAAAAATGAATAACAACCAAAAATTTTTTAAAAGGAGGTAGAAAAATTTGAGACAGAGGAAGGTAATCACAAGTAACTTTGACAAACTCATTAAGAGGAGCCACATGAATGCTAATGCTATTGTCTTTCAAAAAAGACCAGAACACAGCACAGGCACACACATTCCCACCACGGGGAGAGAGGTCTGCCCACTGCAACAGGAATGTCCAGGAGCTGGAGCAGGAATCAATCTGCTCACTGACCAGGAGAGCAAAGACCTAGACAGTGGGAATGACATTCATACAGCATCAGATTCTTTGTGGAGAACACAACTGCTCATGACACTCAACATTTGAAATGTTCATAAAGCAAGCATCATTAATATAAAAAGTATGATCTGAGTATATGGACAAAAATGAAAGCAAATGAAGTTAAAAAGACAACAGAGCACTCTTACATGAGTTATCAGACTCTCTTTAATGTATCTATATTACCAGATTTGCTCAAGACACTCACAACTGCTGTGGACAATGCCTGGTCTGAGGGTCTAATCACAACTCTGTTTAAATAGCAAGAAGAAAGGCAAATATGGCCTCCCTGTGCTCATGAAAATCAGCCCAGCCCTCACCCTGCAGATTTGCTGAGGAACCCAGCCCTGGATACCCAGAGGTTCCCACTCAGAGATGAGGGCTGAGCACAGACAATCACTATGGATTTGGGTCTGACTTGTGTTTTCTTGTTTGCACTTATGAAAGGTAAATTATGGACAACAAGCAATAAGGTAAGGGTAAGTGGACATGATTGTAATCATGTGTGAGTTTCCTGTCCAAGATGTCCTTGTGTTTTCAGATGTCTAGGCTGAGAAGCAGCTGTTGGAGTCCGCAGAGGCTTGGTGCAGCCTGCGTGTTTCCAGGAACTCTCCTGAGCAGCTTCTAGATTCCTGTTCAGGAGCTATGGCTTGCACTGTTTCCTCCAGACTCCAGGACACGGGCTAGAGTGAATCGCATACATCAATCATGATAGTAGTACGCAGATTCCGTGAAGGGCCGATTCACCATCTCCCAAGAGAATGGCAAGAACACGCTGTACCTGCAAATGAGAAGCCTAAGACGTGGGAACATGACTCTGTATCATCCTGCAGTGGCACACAGTGAGGAGACATCATTGAGAGCTCCTACAAAACTCTCCCGACTTGGAACCAGTAGGGGGTGCACATTCTGTGGGGGAAAAGTGGCTCCAGGAGCAGGTGCAGGAAAGGAAGTGGCATGTGAGGGCTTTCATTTGGCCTCTAGGAATTTTTTTTTTCTATTTTAACATCCTGTGACCTGAGGAAACCCTGAAATACATAGCCTTCATTTGATAGTTTACCTATCCTAGGTGAAGTAAACATTCTTCATCAAAATTAATTGCATAAGTACGTATATATGTACTTACTTTATTCATCTTTTTTTAGGAATTTCACTTAATGGTTATCCATTGCCATCTCAAAAAACTTAAAAATCTTCTGCAATGAACTTTTTTTAAAATGTCAAATTAACTGGGCCTGGCGGCTCATTACTGTAATCCTATAACTTGGGAGGGTGAGACTGGAGGACGAATTATAAATGTGAGACCATCCTGGGTTACAAAGTGAGCCCAAAGCCACCCTGAACTGCATAGTGGAACCATGTCTCCAAAAGACAAAAAAAGTCGATTGAACATCATGCAAAAAAAAAAAATTGCTAGTTTTATTCTTGTGATGAGATGTTGTCAAATGCTAAAATAAAAGCTTCAGAGTAGAAAATTAAATCTATGATGTCTATGTTTATAAATCTCAAAAATAAATGGCCCAATCCTCATCTTGGATGGTAAAATGTAATATAATGCAATGTAGTGTAAGAATAGCTGATTCCTAAGCTCAGCCCCAGCCCCATTAGGAGTCCTTTGCTCAGAGAGGAGAGAGAGGAGGGCAGCTCAATGAACTCAAGACAGAGCCAATGAGACAGTGAACACTTTCTGTCCAAGAGAACTAGCAGGACTGCAGCCTGCAATTTCTTTTTGGACTTTACAAATTAGGAATTCATAAATTACAGCATGCTAAACTGTAAACAATCTCTCTCCTCTCTGTATCCCCACCTCTCTTTTTCTCTCACTCTCTCTACCCCTCTCATTTAAATCAGTTAAATAATGGAGAATGTGTAAAAATAAATACTGCAATTTCATATATTCAGAATTTCTTTCTAAACTGATTTCCATAAATCTGACCTTACACATTTAGTTTATTTTATAACAGTCTCCTTTCTGAGGTGATTCTGCATGTATCAGTGGCATATACTATAATTTAAAAAGTAAAATCTAGATATTGGAACTCAGGACCCTGGGAAACCAAGCAAGCATCTGAAGGTTGTGTTTATTACAGGCTTTAATCCAATACACTGCTTTTAAGTCCAAAGACCAGTCCCACTGGTCCCAGCCTGTTTATAGCAGTTGCCCTCTGTAACCCTTAGGACTCTGCTGTGCATCACTGTGTGAGAGACACAGGGAGTGGGATCCATGTGCACTGAGATAGAATTACCATGTAGAGACAAAAATTGAGCTTTAGGGCACTGAGGGACTGAGCTGCATTTTGACACAGGTCAGAAGTTGTGCAGAGAAAGATTGGGGGGGGGATTGCTGGTGGGATAGATGAATCCTTGTGTGTTCACAGAGACACACAGAAATATGCACAAACAGAGACAGGAACACAGACACACATACACACACACACACACACACACACACACACACACACACACACACATAATGACCTTGGACACTTCCTCCTTTGATGTAGCTGCTTCTTGTCTTATTCTACATCTTGACCAGTATGAGGTGGGCTCCAATGCACTGTCTCATTTTCCCACCATGGTCTGATTTTCAGAAGGAATGGGCTAAAATACACCCCCCGTAAAAGTTCCATTTCCAGTGTCTGAATTTTTCATATACTTTATCACTATGATAGAAAGTTCAGGAACACAAACACAGAATGGCAAAATTTCAGTTACCATCTCTTCTTGTAAGTACAAAAACCTTCAGGAATCCAAAATGCATTAATAACAGAACTTATTTAATATTAAACAATAAAGTGCCTGTGCACTGTGGAGGTGGTCACAAAGACAGTGTGCCAATGATTCTGCAGGAATTTCATATGGAACCTGCAATTGCCAAGTTATCAATCTTTTCAAAGAAGTGAATCACTGGCTCAGATAAGTAAGAATCTTGATGCTTAGAAATAGAAAATTATGCACTTGACATCAGATATACCCATCATATTAAATCTTGTTAGACACATGATTGGTAATTGCAAGCTCTATCAGCACATCTATAAGATAATCTCTTATGCAAGAGGCACTGTTATTAGGTAGCGAGCAATACTATTACAAAACAGCCAACCTGTAATCAATAGAGAGATATTTATTGAACCTGTTAATTTGGTAGAAACTGAGCTCAGGGACTCACAAGGAACAGGAATATAGCTGTGGACAAAATCAGGAATTTCAAGGGTTGTTTTTCTTATTTTACTAGAAATTAAAAAAGAAAAGAAAAAAAAAGTTTTGACTTCTCAATAAGGGGAATCTGTAAAAAGAAGAAAAATGATTTTCTACCTGACCTAGTCACAGGTTGGGGTGTTCTGCTGTCACTGCACCACAGGAAATGAATGTAGCAGTCATAAAAATAAGGGCTTAGAGATAGTAAGACTGAAATAGAAAATGAAAAGCCTTCACTTAGAAGAAAGAAAATAAATGAGGGTCAGACAGCTACCTGTGAGAAGGTAGTGGCCAGATAACTGATTGCCTTTGCTCCTGGCTGCATTGATTAAAGAGACAAAAATGTCATTTCCCTGGAACATGTGCCAGGCCCTGAGGTCCCAGCTGAGGAGCCATTGCCTGCCTGCAAATTCCACATCAGCTTCATTAGATTTTCTTTCATGCTCTCAGTGATTTATATCTAAAACTTATGGGTTGGTTAAAAGCAACCTTTGATATGAAGTGAAGTCAACAATAAGCAACAGGATAATGCACTAATACAATGACCTTAGAGTGGAGTGTATCCACATATGCCAAAAATGTTTTCACTCACAGTCTAAAGTGTTTTTTTTTTATCCCACATTTAATTGACAGGAAATGATCTAGTGGATCAAGTGCAAGACTCTGTTTCAGCAATCACTGAGAAACTCATGGTTGACTAAGTTTATCTTTAAAATGTAGGTATGATTTATCACACTGGGTACAGTACAAAGTTTTTCTGAAACAGTTGGACTATCGATTTTCCTTCATCTTTACTTTTTATCAGAAGCTTGTTACTGTATATGTCTAGTTTCTTCATTAAAGCTGTAATGGAATTCTATTGGCGACACATATTAATTTAGTCAATGCAAATTAGCAGAGAGAGACCTTGTAAAAATCAGGGCAACAAAGCTTATGGTCTCATTTTTTTTTTCTGTCTTTTTGGAGACAGGGTCTCGTGCCATGCAGTTCAGGCTGGCCTTGAGCTCACTTTGTAGCTCAGGCTGGTCTCGAACTCGCAACAACTCTCTTGCCTCAACCTCCCAAGTACTGGGATTACAGGCATGAGCCACCACGCCTGACTTATGGTCTCATTCTGGACAGCAGTCCCTGCCCATTCCAATCTGTCCTGATCTGACCTGGCCAAATTATCTTTTCTGTCTTCAACGGACTGGTTCTTTCAGAGGACATTCACCTGGGAACGTTTACGACTCAAATTCAGGAAATTGCACTGAGACCTTAAGGTAACCCAGGGCAGCTCTGAAAGGCCAGGAGTAAAATCCTTAAATGAAAGTATGAATCCTACATTTGCAGATGACATCACAGTAGAGAGATGGGCCCAGGAGCCAATCATTAATAATGTTGGGGCTGAGTTAATACCCAATCAGGTGGGCCAAGGGAGGAGGGCTCTTCCCTGTCCTGGCAAGGAAGTGCTTACTGTGAGTTTGATGCTGAGAGCCTGGAACTGGCTGCATATCTAGTTTCAGTGACTTTTTACTGAGCTCTGCAAAGGATCCTCGGACGCCCTCAAGCATCACAATGGTAACTGGATGGTACTGGCGCTGGGAATGGGACACAATTGTGTGAGTTTTGGAAGGGAATAGGCAGAACCACTGTAAGTCCAGGAGGTCTTTTTGAGCAGCCCTGCGTAAAGCTGTGTTTGAGGCATGTAATGGTTTGGGGCAAATCTGAGTTCTGTCCTCAGAGTGAGAAAAATTATCATCTGAATTCCTTCTGTGAGACTGCTACTCACAATGATGATACCGCATAAACAGAACTAGCAATCTCACCACACTGAGTGTAGAGTTCTTGATCCAAAACAAGAAATTAGAAGAGATCCTTAAAATTCAGAATGCTTCCCACATGGATAGTCAGCTGGCCAGAAGCTACACGTGGTTCTGTGGATTTAAAATAGATTTTCACCTATGTATCTTCTATCTATCTATCTTTCCTTTTCTCATTTCTTTTTTTATTTTTTATGTTTGGATACAGAGCATATCTGTGTAGTCTGGCCTGGCCTTGAACTCTTGGCCATGCTCCTCTATCAGCCTCCAGTGGGAGGAGATTATTGTCCTGAGTAACTGCACCCAGAAAAAAGAACTTTGAGCCTGGTTTCTCTAACCCATTTCATCAGCCTGTGGGGTCTACAGGAAAGAGGGTTTAGAGATAAACTGGCTGTTTGTATTTACATTTCTGTTATCTCAGGAGTGTAGTAATTAGCAACTGCAAGTCACCATAGCAGAGGGCAATCTGCATTTTATTGTGGGGGAGAAAATTCATTGCTTATTCAAAGTCCAAGGTCATTGGCTATTCTCATTGTAATTCTTATCAAAGCCACTAATTTTGCAACTTTAAAAGAGGCCCTTACCTTTGCTAGTGTCTAATTTGTAGGATAAGTAAATAAACAACTTTTTTTTTTACAATTGAACTGCTGAAGCAAGCCATTTCATAGAGTTCAGAATGCTGTGGAGTATTTGGGGGATGGCGATGCACTAGACCCTGAGGGGAAAGTTCCTGCAGAGAACAACTTCCTGTAGGACATGCTGTTAATCCCACACTGAAAAAACAGTCAACTGGTGATAACAGGGATATAGAGATGTGATTAATGTGCGAATAGAAAGGGAAATGTGTCTCCTATGAAAGAATGGCTATAGATTTAGGGCTGTGCTTAGACTTTAACCTGAAATTTGAAACACTGAGCATGGCATGGTGGCATATCCCCTTAACCCTGGCACTCAGGAATCAGATACAGAAGGGTTCTTGCAAGTTTATTTAAGGCAAACCTTGGCTATGAAGTGAGCTCAAGGACGTGCTGTACTGCATTGTGAGACCCTGTCTCAAAAAGTCAGTAAAGAATTTGCAACTCTAAGGTGAACTTTTTCCTGAAGTAGGGGTATATTCAAATATTCAGGCTCTGCATGAGTATTAAAGAATAGGAATGAAAGTACTTTTTGAATGAGAAAAGCCAACTGATTAAAAGGAAATGGAAGGGCATAGACATGTGGAGGGAGAGAGAAAGAAAGGGTCTGTCTGACAGATAGTGTTGGGGCAAAGTAAACAGCACTGAGCCATAGAGGTGCACAAATATAACCCCAAAACCAAGGCTACCCTGGATAACTGAGCAAGAGCTTTTTCAATAAGAGATGCACATTTAGGGTTTATGTCCACCCCAAATTACCTTAACGAAAGTGCCTTAACTTAGATAATGAGGAGAAAATGCTTGCAGTTTAAACTTATATTGGACTTGTAAGTTGACACAAAGTTTCTATTAGTGATTCATGGCACAATGCAAAGTTTATAGGCTCATGTCAGTGATCCAGAAATGAGTCTTTGGTCTCAGGAAAAGGACACCATGGATGAACAACTAGTGATTTAGAGTGCCCTGCATTCAGTGAGGTACATGTGATGTTTAGTGTTGTACTATAAATTTGTCTTTCTGTTAGATCTGAAAAAAAGTTCAAGGCATTTGTATTCAGCAGGCTGAAAAAAATCTAATACTTAGCATGAGGTTTACAATAGCAGGTTTCTCTTTTTACATATTCAATGCATTTTGTTGTCATTTACTCATAGGTAGATCAAGTCATTTTAATTTCGAAACTCAAATAGCACTTTTGTGTCATTCCTTCATGTTATCCCATATAGAACATGGGCCTTACCCAGTTGTTTCCAGTTTTGAGAGCTGTATTCACCTATTTCTCCTGAGCAGCTCTATCAGGAGAGCAGTGCAATCCTGTTTGGAAATGTGAACAGTACTGTGGGCATTTTGTGTCTTTGTTTCCCTGGATTTTTTTTTTCTTATTTTTACTGATGTGGCCCAATCTGGTCAAACTGCTTGACATGTATCCTCCAGCCAAGAGGATAAAATGGAAATTTTAAATTGGTAGAAACCAAGGTGAGTGTTTAGCCATTAGGGTTAGGATGAGACATAACAAGTATTTCTGTAATATATCTTTTAATATCATCTCTATAATAGAGTTTCAGGTTTATAACTTCAATTGAGTGGTGTCATGCAGCTTCAGAAGGATTTGAACTTTTGGCACTTTCACCTTTCTAAAGAGAGAAGATTCTAAGGCACCTAGGACTCATTAGAGTACTGACTACATGCACAGCTGTGTGAGCATACAGAAAGAGTTCTAAAAGTTGAAAAGACCATGAAAATCACTAGATAGAGCACCTGGGGCTATACTCAAGTGGAATGGGGAAGGAGAAAATGCACTGGAAAAGAAAAAATTTCCCAATAGATATTTTGTGACTAATTTTCCATTTAAAAATAAGATTTGGGCATATTTGATTTTTCAAGATACAAATTATTCCTTTAGTTCCATGAATATGATCTAGTATTCTTAAATATGACAAGCTACAGAATACTGGAAAGATTTCATTCCATGTACAGATGATTTTGCCAATCTTTTCTTTCTGAGGAAGTAACTTGATTTCTATAGATTTTTTTTTTTTGTAAAATATTTTCATTTTCTCCTAAAAAGTTTTGAGAGAATCAGAAAATAATTACTACCTATGAAGAATATCTGTGACTGGAATTCTTACCAAAACAAAGGCTAGTGTTTTGTGATGATTACCTGTGGTGTTTTTCATGATGAGTATGAATCTTCCAACTCGTTTTTAAAGCCCTGCACTTCTTAGTGGATAACTAACTGGTTTATAGCACATCGCAAATGACTCACTTTGTATGTGCTTGACAACAACCATATAACCTGGGTTGGATAATAAGGGGGAAAGTAGTCTCCTCACTTCCTGTACATGAGCATTTGCCTTAGATTATTTGCCTCGGGTTTGCTCATGCTATCAGATTAAAATCTTCAACCTTCCAGGGGAGATACTTCAGCACAGAGAGAGAGAGAGGCAAGGGCCATGTACTAGATGCAATCTCATAGGTCATGCTTCCTGGTCACATGAATCCACATGCAGATGTCTTTCCTGATAACCCAGGTGCCTTCACACTCACAAAATGTGACAGTAGAAGTCTAAGCATCAGAGGTGTCAAGTTGTGTACATTACTTTTGAAAATTTAATAAGCCACAAGTGATTAATTTTCAACCCTTGAGAAGGAAAGGGCTATTATTGAAAATTTACCATGCTAAATCCTTGTCTATTCACAGGGAAAGGGTTGAGGGTGGGGCTGCGTGCTGCTCTCATTGTGCCCTCCTAACCCTAACACTAACCCTAACCCTAAACCTCCTGCTAGGATTTTTTGATAAGTCTGGATTCCCCTGAGATGTAGGGTAAAGTTCGGTGACATAGTTGGATATTTTATAAAAGTCATAATGCCGGAGACAACTAACTGTGCCAGTTAAATGACCGTTTATATATGTGTTGTTAAACAGACAATTGTATCCTCAATAGTGAGCTTCATTGTCATGAAGATGAATTGCAAAATAAATGAGCACACTCTCACAATTCCAAAGTCATTTTAGGATGTGTAAAAATCTCATTAGGATTTATTAAAAAAGTTAACATAAGTAAATTTTAATACACATTTTAGCATTGGCTATGATTAAAATAACTGTTAGGACCTTGCCAGGCATGTGTAAACTACTGTCTTATATCTAGAGTCATGTGATAAATGAATAAATTGTTGAATACCTTAGTTCTATACCTTATAATGATAATAGTTGGATTTTATGATAGGAATTCCACTATTTAATAGTGGAAGGTGAAATAAGGCTGTAAAGGACAACTTGCAAAGTTACTGGCTATTAAGCACCCAAACTGATCTCTTTGACTTAGGAAATTCACTTGTACATGCAATTTTTTAAAAACTGGGGTTCAAACTCAAAATTCTACATTTTCAGGCAGACACTGTGCTGCTAAGCTATATTCCATGAATTGTAAAAGAATTTTTTTTTTGAGTGCAGAGACAGAAGCACCATGGGTCATGTAGCTATTCTAATTCATTGTCAGTTACTGAACTTTGTTGAAGAGGACAAGATAAATGACACAGTTTGTGATTTTTTATAGCTCATTCAAATATGGTTTTTACATTTTTGAAATTATGTCAGTGTGAATTGCATGTGGTATGTGCTCATAATTTCAATCCACTTGTTTATACCTGCTCCATTTTTAGATGGCACATATCTGTATTTCAATCCAGAGATGTTGTCTGTGGTACATTATCTTATAAATTTTATTAATGTTTGATGAAACTTTAATGTTTCCACCATATACACTGTTATTTGAAAGTGGATACATTTGTATGAATTACAACTGGTTCTCTGTTAATTTTATTTTGTTTCTTGTGTCTTTTCTGTGTCCACTGATATCATTATAGGATGTCTTTCTCTAGATTTTAATGTGTTTAATTATATTAATTACCCAATAACACCACTAATACTTTTGAGAGTTTATTCTCTATTGTCCTTTAGGATATGCACAAATATAGAGCAATGAAATATCCTGTTTTCTGTAGAGTAATTAACATTTTCATATTTCAGCAGTTATCTCTATTTCTCTCTGGGAATTCAGCTCCCACAGGCTCAGGGCTGGACCTGTTATGGGCACTGTTGGCCGTATTGTAAGACTTCGTAAGACTGCAATGCAGATTAATGCCATGCACTCAGCTCATAGTTCTGCCTTGTGTTCTATAATGTTCTGAAATTGAAGTGTTTGTTCTTTTCCAGTATCTTTATCCACTCTTGTTAATATGTTTTGAGGCACTGATTTTGAGTAACTGAAATAACTCAAAAAATTTACATTCATTGTCATAGATTGTGAAATCCTTTAGTTAAGCTGTTTATTTGAAGCATGTAATTTAAAATTTGTGGTTTGATCTCTCATTCTAAGAGTATTCTTCATTTGTTTCAGCTTTTCATTTCTAATTTCATTCCAGCATTGTGTAAGAGCTTTCTTTTCATGACTTTGATTCCACTTCACTAACTATGTTATGTTCTGTACTGCTAGGCTCAACCTGGGCCACATGTGCAAATAGTTGACTTGTTTTGATGACTGTGTGCCATGTATTTCTGTGATAAAATATTCACTAGAATCCATCTGATATGGTGCTTTGATTTGTTATCATGTTGACTTGATGGTGACTTTAAATATTGCTCTGCCTTCCTGAGCTGTCAGTCACTGATAGATTTGTTAGGAATTCTTAAATATATTCTTATAAATGATTGATTTTTCTCTTCCAATCCTGTTTCTGTTTTGGTAGTTAGTTGCTCTTTGTAGTGGGATATGTATTAAGGAATGATATTAGTTTTTAAAGAAATGCAGATTGTACACATGGAATATAGTCAAACTAATGTAGCTTCAGTAGATTTGTTGAATCAGTGCCACCCAGGTATGTGTTTTTTTCACAGCTTTCTGTTTAATCTATCCTCAGCAGTATCCACATAATAACTGCTGCTCTCCAGGTGGTGTGAGTATTTGCCCATTATGTAGTTTTCTACCTATCCATCAGCTTTGCCACATGTTCTCTCCATTCCTTTTAATCTGACCTGTTCTCTTGATAATGTCACCTGCTCCCCTGATAGGCTGACCTGTTCTCCTTTTGGTGAATTTACCATTACACAACTGTTAGCTGTGAATTTATTGCACTGATATTACCACTGTAGTTTGCTTAGCACTATTATGGATATTGTCTCATCATTTCATGTCTAAAGACAGGTAGGCAGATATAAAAGACTAAATACCTGAATTTCAATTTATTGTTTTAATCATTTAAAGAAAGCTTATTCTCCTAAGTTTTTGTTTAGATTTAGTGATAACAATGAAAGTGTCCCACATGTATTCAGAGTGTTTTACCATTGGATCTTAGGGAAGAAAGGAAAGTAACCATGTGATAAAATCCTTTCAGATCAGAAAGTTTTATTGCATTATTGATGACAACTCTTCTTTGGAAATTTTCCAAAATTTACAATGTGTGCTTTTTCATGGAGACTGTTTGTTGTCATTGTTGTTTTGGATTTTTTTTTTTTTTTAGTTTCTTCCTTTTTACTTTTCAGGAACTGCTTAAAAAGTGCACAAAGAAATATTGTGTTAGGTTTTGTGGTATTTCTCAATGTAATCATTTTTTACTTTTGTTCACCCTGGCTGGTATGTGAATCAAGGCCAAAAATCAAGGCCTTTCTCATTTAGTCTTTTGGACACAGTTTCTGACTTTTTAATTTCTCTTGAAAAGAATCACATGTATTTCCAGGAATAATAGCACAAATTATTTTCTAGACATTATAAAGGAGTACCTTTTCTGTGGATTTTCTTAAACTCCATAGTAAAGGTGTTTGTGGAATTTAGGAGCTGAGTGTTGATTTAGTAAATCTAAATATTTTGTTCTTACACACTTCAATATTTGGGGATTTTCATAAATGTGATTTAGATTTTGTTTTCTGTTCAGTATTTCTCCTGAGTCAATAAGTTTTTGATTATTTTTAGATTTGTGCTCATTCATCTTTACTCTGAATGTAAAAATCTTTGTTATTTCCTTCCCTAAATGTTTTCTTGTTTAATTCCCATTCTATAGATTTCAGTTTCTTCTAATTTCCTTGGCTGCTTGCATTTCTCCTCAGGAAACTTTTTCATTAACTGTGTTTTGTAGTATAAATTGCATAGTCATTCACATTTCTCTTTCCCATGTCAATGCACATAGGCAAGGAGATTGCATATTTCAGAATTCTAGGACATACCTGTTTCTCTCTGAATGTAAATGAAATGTATTGTGCTTTCTTCTTGAGAGGTACAACATGAGCTGAATTGTGCAAAAATATTCTACTTCCATTTGGATGCATTGAAAGTTGTCACCCTTTCCTCAGATCCATTTGTCCAATGATATGAATGTTGAACTTTGAATGTTTTTCATGTTTATTATGCAAAATATTTCCTTGCTTAAAAGTATTGAACATTTGTAGGCTTTTTTTTTCTAACTTTCATCTATAATTGTTGAAAAAATCAAAGGTGTGTTTAGTTTGGTTATTTGGGGTTGGAAATTGAACTCAGGGCCTTGCACATATCAGTCAGTTGCTCATACCACCGAGATGTATCCCTGGTACAAGGCTGTGATTGGTAAATTACTGAATTAATTTTAATTTTTATTTGGTGATGGAGCTTGATGCATTGCCTCACTCTGTAGTCTGCACTGTCCTTATTACATAGCCCAGATTGGACACTACACATGGCGTTGCTGAAATTCCTGGTAATCCTCTTACACCAACCTCTCAAGTCCAGGGAGAACAGGCCTGTGCCACCCCAGTGGGCTGAACTCTTCCTTCTGTATTTAGTGACCAGTTATTTTGCTAAACCTCCATTTTCATTGCACTTCCAAAATCTTTTTTCCCACATTGTCTTCCTTTACACCCAAGTAGATTTTCTAGTATTCATGTACAAGGAGATAATTTGGTGTTCCTGGGTTATAGGATTATGACTAACTTTCCCTAATTTCCTTGCCTAAAGAATGGCTAAATAAACCTTTATTTTCATTAAATTTTAGTACTTCATAGACCTCCTTTCATATTCAACTAAATATTTATCTAGGAAAACATTTTCAAGAGTGTAAATGCGTCTAGAAAGAAAGATGAACTCAGTGTTATGAATAACTAGGTGTTTTGTCAATGTGCATTTGCAGGGTCCCTCTTTGAGCTCTTCTTTAAAGTCAGTAAAAATTAAAATATAAGTAGCTCTGCAAGTTAATCCATGCCACATTTCTGTGGTGTTTTGGCATTGTGTTATAGTTTGGCATCAGTGTTACTGAGTGACAATATTTGAATGCACTTGTGTTTTGATGACCTTGACATTGCAGCCAATTCTTGAAAGAATGTCCTTCAGTTAGACATTTTATAAGTGAAGCTGAAATATATTAGTTATGTTTCTAACCTTGAGCACTCTTGTTATTATGTAGGAGACAGTGAACTTTGAGAATGTAGCTGTGAAGTTCACCCTAGAAGAGTGGAATTTGTTGTCTCCATTCCAAAAGAAGCTCTACAGAGATGTGATGAGGAAAACATATATGAATATTACTGCAGTAGGTAAGTATGATGTTTTATTTATTTGTACAAAGAGCATTAGTAATTCCTCAGTATTTGAGCATGAATATTGCAACAAGGGAACTTGAAGGAATGAAATCATGTTACACTTTATTTAAACTTAGAAAAATATCAAGAGATATACTTGTTTTTATTTTGTTTTATTTGGGAATCCATAGAAAAGTATTTGAATATAGGAATCAGAGGTAGTGCTGATACTATATAACAAAAAACACTAATATATGAGTTTGAAAGTTTCCTTCCTGATCAACATCACGGGAATGTATGAGAGAAATTTAAATATTGTATTCTAATATATAGGAAATGAAGATAATTGTGAATTTTGATAGAAACTCATCTTCAAAATGACCATTTATGTATTCATGTGAATACTGAGGCTTTCATGATCTAAAAAAATGTTTTACATAGATTGAATTTTCAAAATGCAAATGAATGTTACTGTTTACAATAAGTACTTTGAAAATGTCCTATAAAATGTTTAGCTTTTCATGTTTGAATTTCCTCATACATTGTTGATTTATACATAAAATAGAAACATAGTAATAAATATTCAGAGATCTCAAAGTTAAAATAATATGTTTCATATTTTTTAACAAGTACATTCATCAGTTTTTGTTTTGTACTTTTGAGCCATGATTTCGTACTGTAGCTCAGGTTGACTTTAAACTTACAGTGTATCTCATACTGGCCAGAGCGTCCTGCTGCCTCCACCTTGTGACCTTTGAGTGAGTTGTACTGTGTCATTATGTACATTGGTTTTTCAGTATATTGTCAAAAATATTAAAATCATCAAATGTTAACGATCCACACAGTGTGTGGTTTAATGCAGCACATGAAAGGACATTTACAATCTCTGATATAAGAATAAATTTATAGGGGAGTTTCACAAATGGCAGCTTGCTAGAGGACTTGAGGGAGAGTGTCATAAATACTAGAATATGACAACATAGAGCGGGCCAGACAAATCGATAATGATTCTTATTAACCAAGGAAGTAAATGAAGGGAAAAATAAAACTGGGAAAAGGATGGAAAAGCATGGATGGAGAGCTGAAGCCCAATGTACTCATGGAGCCCTGTTTCACACTGTACTTGGCATGGCCAGAGGATTTAAGGTTGTGCCATGACCATGGCTGCCGATAATGGGAGTCTGCAAACCCTGCACCATTAACGTGGCACAATGACCAGTGGATCCAAGAGCAAAAGCTGTATTGGCTTTTGGAGACTGTTGGAAATTGATAACCAGGACCCTGCAAAGCAGCCAGGGCCAGCTGGCTGTGCCGGAGAAGACTGCAAGAAGCTTCAGAGCTCTGAAGCCAGACACCATATAGTTTTCTGACTGATCCATGCTGTACCGGGGTATGCAGTGAAGACAAGTGGTGCAATTTGCATTGGACTCAGGAAAAAGATCTGCACTGAGTCCCAGTGAGTACTAAGGACTGGGTCCCACAGCTGCTGTCGCTGGTTGAGGACATCTTGGAATTGGGCAGAGCCTGCCACCATGGCAGCATCAGTAACACAGAGAGGTCTGGTGGAGAATATCTTGGAGTTGGGCAGAGCTGGCACCGTGGTAACATCAGATAGTCATCCCTGGTGCAGAGAGGTCTGGTGGAAGACATTTTAAAATTGGGCAGAGCCCTGCACCATGACATTGTCAGTGACACAGAGAGGACTGGTGGAGGACATCTTGGAATTGAGCAGACCCAGCGCTGCAGGGACATTAGATAGTTGTTCCTGGCACAAAGTGATATGGTAGAGGACAGCTGGGATTTGGGCAGAGCCCTGTGCTAGGGTGACATTAGTCAGCTGCTTCTGGCACAGAGAGAACTGGCAGGTTCTGCTAGGGCTGAACCATGCCTCTGGTTGGGACCCATTAAGCAGATACAAAATTGTTGTGACTGTGATGTCCACAAGGTAGAGCCTAACTTGCAGATTGACTGGCACAGAGGCAGGAAGCTAGTCTGCATCATCCTTGCATCCCTGCCTACCTCATATAATAGCAAATTGGGGAGGGCAGCAAAACTGAAGTCAGCATGCTTCGGAAAGTCCCTAAGCAATATAGAGGAGGTCAGACTCCAGTCTGAAAGAAACCAGAAACAAGACAAGAGATAGAAATTAAAAAAATCTTGTTGCTGTATGTGAGAAAATAAGCCCAGGAGAAGTAAACACAGAAGAGAACCACCACAGAAACCATTCAATACTAGACACGGCATCAGCTGAAATAAAGAAATACCTTCATGACCTCATAGATAATTGAAAACTGTACTTCTGATCCAAGTGAAGCAAGATATAAAGAGATTAATTAAATGGTAAGCCCCACCCAAGGAAACACAGATGGAAGAACGTGGGAAATCAGAAAGAGAAACTTCAGAAGAAGAATTTAAACACAACCTAGAATACATGAAGCAGATCCAAAGATATTACCATGAAACTAAAAACACCATTGATCACTGGCAAAATGCCTTGACAGAAACTAAAGTTAGCCATTTGAAACTTGAAGAGAGATTTATGATATATGATCATGTAAGAAAATACCCCTTAAAAATAATGAGGAATCAGAAAGAAACAATTCAAAGGCTAGAAGGTGACAAAAGGATACATAACTTAAGAATAAAGCATATGAGTGAGGAAGCAGGAGCAGCCAAAAATGAAATACAAAGAATACTCACACAAATATTAAAGGAAAACTTCCCAAGTATAGGAAAAATAAATGATATCCAGATATATGAGGCATACAGAGCTGCAGCTACTTACAACCAAAACAGATATACGCCCAGACATATAATAATCAAGATTCCAGAAATCCACCAAAAGAACAGAATACTAAAAGTAGCCAGGGAAAAGAACCAGATAACCTACAATGGGAAAATTATCAAAATAATAGATTTATCAACACAAACTCTCAAATCAAGAAAGGACTGGGGAGAAATATCCCAAGACCTGAAAGCAAATAATTCTCTCTCAAAATTAATGGAGAAATAAGGTATTTCCTAGACAAGGAGAAACTGTGGGAGTTCATGGCCACCAACCCAACCCTATAGAGAGTGCTGAAGCACATTCTAGTCACAGGAAGGAATACCAGAATTCCAACAACAGTGGCAGAGAGGCCTCAATTAATGGGGTAGGCAGTGGAATGATGTAGTAAGGTGGACAAATTATAGCAGTAAAGTGGAGTAGCAGACATGTGGCAGAGACAGTAAGCTATAAGCTTTAGTATAGGTAGCTTTGATACACTATACAAAAAAGACAGAGGTCATTTTTAATAGTGTATCAGGATTTAAAAGTCACAGTAGTCTTATCACTCTGTTTAGCTTGAATTAATTTGTCCCAGTATGTCCACTCATATCAGATTTGAGGGCACAGACATCTGACCCAAAAATAGCAGGTTATACCATGGTAACCATTCTTAATTTCCTATTACCTTAAACTGAAACCCTGTATTACTTACATTGTCTTACTATGATGAATCTTATTTGAATCTGATTGGTTAGACTGTGGTTTCATCTTGACTGATTTTATTTGAATTTGGTATGCTTGATGTATCAACCGTAAAAGTAGAGGCAACTACTCTCTAGATGGCAAGATGTAAAAGATATCCACACTGGTTTTGATTATTAACAGCTCTCAAGTCCTACAATGTTTTCAAATTGTGTTTTTAGAAAAATAGCTATGTAATACTCTGCTTAACTATATTAAGCCTGATGATGTGGACAAGTCTATTGAAAATAACAAGAGGAGGAATAGTAACTATGGTAGATCACCTAATATTGTGTCTTATGTGTTCTTTTCATTGCATGTTTTTCTAGGAATTTGTTTTGTTGTCTTGTTATGATTTGTCTTTCCCTGTAATACAGACAGGATAGATATACACATAGAAATTCACACATGGGAAGATTTTTTAAAACTATATACAGGGACAGATTATATAATGCAAGATGTAATGAACAGATACTCTGAAGGAAAAGAGACACTAAGAAACACAATGTTAATTCTGTACCATTATGATATAAAATCTAGAAATACTATTATTCACTGTCCAGAGTGATATTAGTCCAGTCTCTTAACTTGAATTTCACCATATGTAAAGATCAGGACAGCTACAATGAAGAGAATGAGAGACACTATGGTAGTTATTATTGTCTCCCCCAATGTCAGATCTTGAAGATCTAAAAAGCCTTCATCATCTTTTAATGATTTGATTAGTTCTATAATATGCAGTATGTATTTAAAGTGTGCAAAGATGGGGACAACTATTTGGTAAGAAACTAGAGACAATTAGATAAACAGTGAAGATTTCCAGTGGACTTGCTTTGAAATCTGTATTTCTTTTAATTGTTTATTTTTGAACTGTTTTGTTCTGTTTTGATATGTTTAATCTTACCCTCTTTAAGATAAAAATCAAGTATGTAGGATTGATAACCATATTACTAAGTTTTTGTTAGATCATTGAGCAGAACTGTTGGCAGCGTCACTATTTGAATGTCACTTTACATACTTTAATTTTGTAACCTGGACAACTATTTTTAAGATAACAATATGTAAGTTATCAACTGGTGATTTCTAACCATTTATTTTTCTGTAATTCAGTATTATTTCTACCCCTTTTTTTCCCCATGTATTTTTTGTTTCTTTCTCTTTAAATAATATTTTAAAAAAGAATAAATTTATAGTAGCTAAGCTATGGTATGGGCCCAGATGCCCATCGCTGGTTGCCAAGGTAAAGAAAATGTGGAGTCAGCTCATAATGGTAGTATGTCCTTGCAATCCCAGCACTCTGGGAGGCTGAATCAGCAGGATGCCCACCTGATGCTCAGGCTGAGAAAGTTCATGGTCAATGAGAATCTTTCTCATAAAAAGAAATAATGCATCAGCAAATTTACTTCAGTCTAAGACCTGTGTTAAACTCTACACTGAAAAAAATATGCTATACAAGGAACCATATGGCTGTTTTCGTTTCTCAAGGAAGAAAAATAGTTGGACTTAATTGAAAGAAATCAGACACAGTAATGGAAATATCACAGGTTTGCTCTTAAATGGGAAATTAATAGCATATAAGAGGAGTAAAAGTAAAGAGAGATAATATAAGACAAGAAATCCTTACTTTCTATAGAAAAGAAAAATGATCAGGCTAAATAGATGCTGGGGAGAATGAAGACATGAGGAGCTAAAAAAATGATAAATATTTGGTAGTCATTTGTACCAATCTTTAAATGACATTATGTATCAAAATGGTATACCAATTTAAAATTCTCCAATGAAAACCATCCTCTTTAGAATGAGTAGTACTTTGAAAGTAGTACTGCAGCACAGTGAGTCAGTTAACTGTCAGAATTACTCATGCATCAAACCAGACTAGTCATCATAAATATCATTTGTTAATGAGGAGCTTTTCCCATTGTGATTGATATTTTTCTTTGTATTTTGTATGTATGTAAGCAACAGATATGATGAAGACAATTGTATAAGATTTGAACAACAGCAATATAAATGTAATGAAGATGTAGAGACCTGCAGTGATTTCCAGTCCTTTCGGAAGCATGAAATGAGGAAGATTACAAAAATACCCTGTCAATATGCACAATATGAAGAGTCAGATGTGATCTTAGTGAACACACTCACACTGAGCAGAAAATCTTTGTAGGTAAAAGTGTGAAAGCCCACAAAACACCTAACAGTGTTCAAATCAACAAGACACACCACAGCTTGGGAAACTCGTATGTACAAAAACACTATGAATATAGTTCTATTTCTTCACCCAATATTGAAAATCATGTTAGAAAATGTGGTAGAGAGAAACATCATATAACTGAGAAATGCACAAAAGCATTATCTCACAGTAATTTCTTTAAAAAACATAAGAAACTTCACACTGGAAAGCAACCATGTGAATGCAAGAAATGTGGGAAAGCATTTAGTAAACACAGTAGCTGTCAAAGAAATAAAAACAGTCACACTGGGGAGAAACTCTATGCATGCACTAAATGTGGGAAAGCATTTAGTACAGCCTCTGCTTGCAAAGCACATGATAGAACTCAAACTGGGGAGAAACACTTTGTATGTAAGCAATGTGGGAAATCTTTCAGTCAAAAAGTTAGCCTTATTACATGAAAGAATTCACACCGGAGAGAAACACTATGTATGCAACAAATAGGGGAATGCATTCAGTAAAGCCTCTGCTTGTAAAGCACATGATAGAACTCACACTGGAGAGAAACCCTTTGTATGTAAGCAATGTGGGAAAACTTTCAACCAAAAGGACTGGCTTATTACACATGAATGGATTCACACAGGGGAGAAACCCTATGTATGCAACAAATGTGGAAATGCATTCAGAAAAGCCTCTGCTTGTAAAGCACATGATAGAACTGACACTGGAGAGAAACCTTTTGTATGTAAGCAGTGTGGAAAAATCTTTCAATCAAAAATATAGTTTTATTGGACATGAAAGAATTCATACTGGGGAGGAACCCTATGGATCCACCTAGTGTGGGAAAGCGCTCAGAAGAGCCTCTTTTTTCAAACCTTAAAAAAGAATTGACATGGGTGAAAAACACTTTTTATCTAACAAATGTGGGAAAGCATTTATTATAGTGACTAGTTGTAAATTACATGATAGAATTCACTGTAGAGAGAAACCCTATGTGTGTATACAGTATGGAAAATCTTTCAGACAAAATGGTAACCTTAGTATACATGAAAGAATTCACACTGGGGAGAAACCCTTTGTATGTGAGCAGTGTTTCAAATCTCTCAGTCAGACTTCTACTCTTCTTCATGAAAAAACTCAAACTGGGTAGAAGCTGTATGGATACAACCATTATGGTAAAGCATTCAGTATGAAGAGGTGATACATAAACCCTAACTATCTTATGTAAGCAATTTGGGGTGTCTTTCAGCTATAGTAGTAGCTTTTGTGTATATAAACCATTCACTCTGTAGAAAAACCCTAGCTATATGAGAAATGAGTAAGTAGATTTGTTGACAAATTTGCCCTTCATAAACATAAATGATCTCACACTGGGGAAAAAAACCTATGAAAATAAGGAGTGTAGGAAAACTTTCCACAACTAGAGACATTGTTGCTACATGACAACTCCATCTGTGTAGTAATTCTATGCATTTCAACAGTGGTTGACAGCATTTAGTGCACAAAAATGCCATCGAATAGAGGAGTAATGCACACAAGGAAAAAACTATGTATGTAGGCAGTGTGGAAAAGATATGTTGGTTGCAGTGTTTCCCTTTTCCAAACATAAGATTCCTTCATACTAGGGAGTAACTGCACATAAGAAATATTTGGAAAAAGTTGAAATGACATAGGTGCTTACTTTCTGAGTGATGTCATATTGTGGCCTGAGCCTATGTATGCAATGTGGGAAAGCATTCAGTATAAATGGTAATGGTCAATCCTGTGAAAATAATAATCAAATGAAATCATGTACATAAGTGACCATTTTGAAAATAATTCATAAATTACTCATGGAGAGGAGAGCTATAAAAAATAATATAAGATTAGTGCTGTAAATACATGTTCACTGATTTCTTTTGAAAACACCCTCCAGCACAGTTATCCAAAAATGTATTCTTTCTTTTTTTACAAATCAAACAGAAATATCTGGTCTGTTTTTGTAGTCTTAATAAAAAGTACTGTGTTTAAAGGAAATTTAAGTATGTTGAAACTTTTTTCCCATGTTTTTGATCCACCGTTATTTTGATTTATTGAATGACACCCAATTTTCTCATGACTATTTTCCCTACCAGAATCTGTAAATCTTGTGTCAGTATACCCTGAATGATGGATACATTCATATACAAAAATGTGCTTCTATTCATGGCCTGTATCTATGTAGCCATGCTTATCATAAGATATACCATTACAAAATCTAAAGCAGAGTCAGTCACTGTTACAAATAAGAATGAACATAAATTAGGGAAAAATCTTATGTGTGCAACAAATATGCAAAAATGTTCAGTACACAAAAAGTTCTAAAATACATGATAGAACTCTCAATAGAGAGAAATCTTATATAGGTAAACAATGTGGGAAGTCTTTCAGTCAATATTGTAACCCTGTACATGAAATGAGTTCTTTCCTCTGTTTCTTGCTCATCTCCGTTTTTGAATGATGTATGCTCCTACTTCCTATTACACATCATGTACTTTTATACAAATTTAAACTCCATCCATCTTGTATTACATCAGTCACTTATGAGTAGCAGAATCCTGAATATGCAAGTGAATCAGGATTTCACAGAAGTTCCTAAGGTTCAAAGGAAAATGAATGAAATATAATTCCCAGGATAGTAATGGTGTCATATCATGACACCAAAAAGAAAGTCACCAGTGTGTAATAAATAAGGGTGATAATCACAAGTATGCAAATTAAATACATGAGAATTATAGAAATACATTTTTTCTGTGAAACAGTCTTGCTATGAAGTTCAGGCTGGGCTTGGGCTCACTTTTAATTCTAGACTGATCTTGGGGTCACTTTGTATCTAGAATGATCTTAGGTTCACTTTGTAATTCACTCTGATCTTGAACTTGTTGCAATCCTTCCACCTTAGCCTTCCAAGTCCTGGGGTTACAGGCATGCACCACCATGCCTAGTTTGTAGCAATATATAGTTATTTGAGTAACTTTCCATGTTAATAATATATAACTCTCCCTATTCAAAATATACTTTAAGGTACTTGGCATTTCTGCACACTCAATCCTGAGGTTAAATATTGCTGACAAATTACTACAATGTAGTTCCTACTTTTATTTCCTTATTTTAGAATTTTATCATGTTTTAAATGAAATGGTTCAGACGTAGGCAAGGTGGAGATTTCATGTGATTTAAGCAATCTGGAAATTTGAGGCAAGAGAATTTCAACTTTGCAATTTAAACCCAAGCTTAGCTACTTGAAACATAGTGAAAACTTGTCTATAAATAAAAAATAGTGCTGGGGAGATAGATCAATATAAATGTCCTGGATTCCAGTATCATCCATGAAAAGTTAAAATAGGCCTTATTTCCTGATAGGGCAGTAAAACCACTGGCCTCATCTCACACTCTGAGTAGACCTGGCCTGTTTTTACCATCCCACCTAAGAGTTTAAGAGTAATTTTCAGAATACATACACTCAAATCACCAGAATACAGTTTCCATCCTACTTACTGTATGTAGGTGTAAAATTGCAAAACATACAGTTATTCAACCCCTGCTATGTAAAGACAAGAGCAACCTCATTTTAAGTGCAGTAAGTCCTTGTGGAGCATTTCAGCACTCCATATGTCATCCAAGAATGGAACCCATCACTTTGCTAATCAGTACACATTTTGGATCAATTCCCTCTGCCTTGAGTCTCAAATATTTGGTCTTTCTTCACTAGCTATTTGGTGATTCAGGAAGGCTGTGTGCATTGTCAACTGGAAAGAGGCACAGGGATATCAGGACAATTCATTATGTGGAGTCTTCCTTTTATTTTTGCCACCAAGTTTTGGACCCAGAGGCATGTGCTGAAGAAAAGCCTTAGAATTTGAGCCTGGCTTCTGGATGACTTCCTCAGAGAGCAGGAATCAAACACAGAAGCAAACAACCTAGAGGCTAGAAATGTAAGTGTGGGGCCAGGTATTCTGAGCTGGATAAGGATTGACTATGTGTTATCTGATGAAGTTGGAATCTCATGAAATCTGTGAAGTTTGTGATCTGACCTCTGTTCTAGCTTCAATCTGTGCCATGAGGCTTGACTGGCAGTGGAGACCCTAGTGCCCTGTCCTTTTCCTGCTTCATCCTCAGCCTCATGCAAATTGGCACCCTTTCAGCAAATTCTCCTGCAGCTCTGTGTCCTGACATTCTGTATGGTGACTTCATTGGTACATGTGGAGTCTACAGGTTCATCTGCAGTTTCTACATAAAAAAGTATTTTTTTCTCCATGCCTAGTCACTCTTGTCTAAGATCTGTCCTGATTGCTCTGCATTTACTGAATATTTTGGAAACAAAAATGTCAAGTTCATGAACTGAATACACAACCAAGCATTTATAAGGTAGGAGTTAAATTTCTATTTTCTAGATCATTTCCACATGGACATATACAACATATGTGACTGGGTTTCCAGAGACTGTGGAGACTGTTTCCTTCTCTGACTCTATATGTGCCATGGAGTGCTTTTTAATGTTGTTTCACAAACATGAATACTCACTGAGTTAGAAAATAATTCAGTGGAAATAATACAGAAATTTGGAAATACACAGAATATGTACTGTAGTAGCATCTTTATCATAGGCAAAAATAAGCACAAAAGAAGAACACAATAGTGTAGGACATAGGGAATGATGGAGCATGGCAATATCAACTCTGGGATCAAGGAAGGTCTTTTTCATGTCAGCCTTTCTAGGGTGAAAATAAACACTGGGTCTTACCATGACTCATGATGAGAACAGATCATAGTCCCTACATCTGAAGATCCAATGGAAATTTAGGGGATAAACTGCGGATACCAATCCTTCAATCATT